TGTGTTGTGAAGGAGCAGAAGAAGAGAGAAGAGAGAGACGAGAGAGAGACGAGAGAGAGAGGAGAGAGAGAGTAGAAGAGAAGAGAAGAGAAGAGGGGGAACGGAGGCAGGATGACGCACGAGAGAGAGCAGAAGAGAGAACAAGAGAAAGAGAGAGAGATCGAGAAGATGCACAGACAGAGGAGCAGAGAAGCGTGTTGTGCTGTGCTGTTGAGAGACGAGAGAGAGAAGAGAAGAGGAGCAGATCAGAGATCGAGAGAGCACAGCATGTAAAGGATAGACAGGCAGCAGCAGAGCGTCCTGCCCGTTGCGCAATCATCATGCTACCGCGAGTCGCCGCAGATCACTGTGCATGTATAGGCGATGTCCGCGACACGTAGCCTGCCAGGCTAGCACCGCGTTCCACTAGGCCACTGCGATATCTTTCAAATAGAAACAGCCGTAGAGCCTTGGCCAGGCCTACTCACTTATGCCCTAGGCTAGGACACACTGCGCAATTTTCTACGCTGGCCGCTTGCGATCGATAAATACGGTGCCGGGTCCGCGCAGTGTGTCCAGTCTCATGTCAGCGTATTTTGCTCGCGATCCCATACGCCCGGCGCATCGCTCGTATTCAACATGTTGAATATTTCCGCCCGGTTTTTTTGACCCGGCACCGTATTTATCGATCGGCAGATCGCAAGCGGCCAGCGTAGAAAATCGCAGTGTGTACTAGGCTTATTCAACATGTTGAATATATCCGCCCGGTTTTTCGACCCGGCACCGTATTGATCGGCGGATCGCAAGCAGCCAGCGTAGAAAATCGCAGTGTGTACTAGGCTTTACTGACTCTCCACCAAATAGTGCGCGATACAGATATAATTGTATTGTAGACATGAAGTATTGTGGGACATATGTCTTCAAGTTCTACTACTACTAGTACGGCTCATAGGGTCTATGTCCCCCAGGGTACTGCCGGAACGTACCCTGGGTACGGTCCGGTATACCAGAACGTACCCTGGTCACTATTCGATATGGTTAGGGTTAGCATTAGGGTTAGGGTTAGGTTTAGGGTTCGGGTTCGGGTTAGGGAGTAGGCGTAGGCGACTCCCTAGACTCGTTAGTGGAGTAGGCTAGGTACGGTCTGGCATATAATATAGTACTAGGGTAGGGTACGTTCCGGTATACCGGACCGTACCCAGGGTACGTTCCGGCAGTACCCCGGGGGACATAGACCCTATCAGCACGACCCATTCCTATTTGACAACCCCAGGTTTAAAAACCCTAACCCTAACCAAACTCACGACATGGGTGTGTAAACGCTACTTGTACCGAACTAGGGCCGATCTTATAAGTGATGTGAACAAACTAACAACAACACAAGCAGACTTACCATGGTCCTTTGTTACTTGTGCGGTATGCACCACCTGCTTTCGTACCGTTGTTATGCTGCCGAATTCTGCGTGTGGGGTTGTTTGTAAAGCCAATGTATGTCTGCCCCTTATACCGCTCATTTCTGCAATACAGCAGATAGCATCCAAACAGATTCTCAACTGTACTGTGGTCAGGCATCGGGAAAATTAAAATGACTATATTGCAGCCTAATCATTTATCATTTCGATGTTTCATCATTTTCACTCTATCTCTGTCTCCGATATAGTCCCTTTGCCCAATGAGCTAGGTAATGTTGCAGTATAATTTCTTTCAAATTTCAAGATCACGCCAATTCTCAATTTCAAGCCACTTCTGCGTCTTCTCTAGATAAACTAGGAGATGATGCTATATGGCCATATACTTGTCACACCACTGGCGCCATTTTTGATCGAAGTTGTACGTCACAGAAGTTTTGCACTGTGTGCGTCTGAACCATATAAATATATAGAGGCACTATCAATCGATCAGCACAATCCAGTTTACTACATACGGTTCATAGCAATGATGACTTCTGTTTGAATCATAAGCACTCTACTAAAATAAGTGAAGTCCCATTGATTTTTTGGTTTGGATGCAAAGCAACAGGATGAGATGTTGGGATTCACACTAACCTAAGTACAGTAATATAGGCACAAACAGAAAGGTAATGTTCTCATATATAAATAAAAATATTATATTTTCCAACAATAAAAATAATATATATACGTAACTATATGTATATTTATGATGAAACCCAACAAATATAATCCTACTATATCATGGACACATGAAGTTCACACAGATATAACAGAGACAACATGAGCATTAACATAACACCCTAATTTTTATCACACAACTTCACCATATAAGAATCTCTTGCAATTAGCCCTATTCTCAATGATAACCATGGCCACCCACTACAGGTGCATTAGCCAGCACATTTCAGCCAACAACCATTCATGAGAAGACAGTTTTAACAAGCAGGAGCAATGACAAAGAAGCTGTACTAGTTCCGAAACAAATACTGTGAGAAACTTACAGTCCATTTCTGAGCACTAAGTCATGGTGGGCGTGTAATAATGGGATACTCTATTCTGTGTTATTATATTTACCATTGCAAGCCATGTTGTTATATCACACTCATTACTGGCACAAAGGCATTGAAAACATGTATGATCAAAGCAACACAAAAACACTGCCTATTGTAATCTAGGTAGACGTCATCATAATACAGTGTGTGGAATTCTTCCTCTATCTCTGCATCGACTAGAATGTCTCCAAGATTTTTTCATCCGCTTTGTAGTTCCGGCAGTACTGGCATACTTGTTGTTGTTGTTGTTGTTATTCATTTATCCTCCTGCTTCACGAGGTCATGGTCACAACACCGTGCTGGTCTGTCCATTGATACTAGCAGGCAGGAAGAGAACATTAGTCCTGGTGGAGTCCTAAGTTGAACTGAGTTTCCTGCAATACAGCTTCGAACCTTGTGAAACTGCTGCCATCAATGCCACGAATGGGAGACGAGTTAAATGCACGATAGCTTAATATGCTTCAGTTTTCACCTGTACTCCTATTCCAAATACTTAACTCGGGAACGACTCAAGCAAATTTCTGGATGGGTGATAGACACGAACACTCTGTACCCCGTCTAATGCGTTTCAACGGAAACGTAGACTGAATGTAATATAGGCCATACAACAATCTTTGGTCGCGAATTTCCCCGTTAGAATGGCACTGCCATTCTTAAGTTAGTACAAGCTAGATGGTGGTAGTACTCGAGACAAGAAGGGAAAGAAATGGAAGCGGTCAGTCATTAAACATCTGACCCATGTGTGACAGCCGGGAGGAAAACTTTTGTGAGGTGCAAGTGAGTGAACTTTGCCGGCTACGCGGTCGCCGTGGCGCCCCCTGGCTGAGTAGCCTGTTCAGCCACAACTCGTCGCCTTCCTCTGTGTGACCTGAGCTGCCGGTGCGCACAATCTGGTCCACATCCGCGTACGGACGCAGCAGAGTTGTCCAATCGGGGGCGCCACTGTGAGCAGCGTCATCTAGTAAGGGCTTCCTTCCCATTAACACAGCCTGATCGTCCGCAGACACACTTCCTCCCATCTCCAGCTTCGCAATCATCTCTGTCAGAAAGTCGTTGAATCGCTCGAGAGTCCTGAGCGATTTGCTGACTTCCGCTGCCTGCACCTTCTCTAAGTCGGAAGGCTGCTTAGTTACACCATCTGGTCGGACAGTACTTGAGGAATCTACTGTTTCTTCCGAAGTGCTGTGCGAGTCTGGATGTAGCTGTGGATCCTTGCCTTCTGCCTGTATGTCTTTCTGCTCCTGCTGCTGTTGCTGCTGCTGTTGTTGCTGCTTCTGCCCATCCTGCAATTTTGCGTCCAAATTAACAACCTCATGGCGATCGGCTCCATATCCAGCAATTTTTGTTCCAGTCATCTGTCTGACAGTGTCAGTATGCATGACGATCCTCCTCTTTAGCTCTTCCATCTGGTGTTCTACTGTTTCCTGCGTAATACTATCTACCGTTTCCTTTTCACCGTCTTCGTCGTGAGGACCGGGCATTTCTGCTCCACCACCAACATCTACACCAGGTGACCCATCAATGCCACCTGAGCTTATTCCGTGTGTATCAAAGTTCTTGCCCAATTCGCCCAATGTGTCATCGCCGGTATCAGCTTCGGTGACGTTGGTTGTTTCCCTGGCACCGCGACCATCTACCATATCTTCGTCGTCGTCCAGTGCCACCTGCTCAATTGTTCCGACGCCTGGGCCCATGTTACGCTGCAACGTGCCCTGCTTATGCTTGAACACGTCACCTGCGAAATGTGCAAAACGGGAAGGTAATGGTGACGTTTACTAATGAACATTACACACCTACGCAAAAATCGCCCGGTATTTCGACGTGCACATTTTTACACCCAGGTCAGCCATGTCTCTCTATAGCTGTTTGCTGCTTTTTGTTTCCCTCCACCTTCCATATTGATCGTTCTCTCTACCTCTCTCCCTCTTTCTCCCTTCGCCCTTCTCTTTCTCTGCATCTAACTCCCGCTGTCACTGTCTCTTTCACTCTCTATTTCTCGTTCCCAATCAAGAAATAACCCACGCTCATACCTGTTGTGATAAGAGACAGAATTCTGTCGACTGTATCCTGTTCCTGCTCCTCTTGCTTGGCTTTGCGGAACCTTTTCTTATACTTGCTGTCGGTGAGGTCCAGTAGAGCCAGCAGATCCAACTGGTCATGAAACTCCTAACACAAACACAAGCATTAAGAAAGCATGCACACATCGTTGCCATGTTACAGAGGTATAAAAACGTTACACGATATACTGCTCAACTACAGCGCTTGTAGAAATCTCCCTCGGAGAAGCGCGCAAGTGAAGGATGAAGAAGAATCAAATACAATGTTTTTGAAGTAATGACGTGGCATAGAATCAGATAAGTTTCTACAATATCAACTAGCAATAGACAGGACTATACTCACCTGTAGAAGCACGTCATCCTGTGCTTTCTGCGTGCTGCAGCAGTAGACGGCAGCCATGTCTAATGGGTGTGCCTCTGTGTTGAATATATAACCGCCTGCATCGATCACACACTCCCCACCCGCCGTCTGTATTACTGTGCCCTGCGAACCTGAATTGAAATACAAGCACTGATCATGAGAGAGAAAGAGAGAGAGAGAGAGCACGAGACAGCGAGAGAGAGAGAGAGACTGAGAGAGAGAGAGAGAGAGAAATGAGACCAGAGAGCGGAGAGAGATGCAGAGATACGAGAGAGATAAGCAGGATAGGATAAGAGAGTAGAGTAGAGAGGAGAGATGAAAGAGAGAGAAAGAGAGAAGAGAGAGAGGAGAGAGAGAGAGAGAAGGAAGAGGAGGGAGAGCAAACACAGGACGTAGAGAGCAGAGCGAGATGAGAGAGACAGCCGGAGAGAGGACGGAGAGAGGACGAGAGAGAGGAGCGACGTGAGAGAGCCGAGAGGAGATGAGACGACAGAGCGAGACCGGAGATAGCCGAGAGACGGACGAGATCGGCCGGGGGGCCGGCGAGAGAGGAGCCGAGAGAGAAGAGAGAGAAGAGACAGAGAGAGACGAGAGAAGAGAGGAGAGTAGTCAGAGACGAGAGTATGGAGAGACGACGAGAGAGAGAGAGGAGACGCAGTAGGAGAGGAGACCGGAACGAGAGAGGAGAGACGAGAGAGAGACGAGAGAGACGAAAGACGAGAGAGAGAGAGAGAGAGAGTAGGAGAGGAGAGAGAGGAGTATGAGAGAGCAGAGAGAGAGAGGAGAGAGACGCAGAGGAGAGAGCAGAGACGGAGAGAGAGGACGAGAGAGATGAGAGAGCACAGAGGCCGGAGAGAGAGGGAGAGAGGAGAGATGAGAGAACCGACCGGAGCGGACACAGATCCTCCGCGGGGGGGAGACGAAGGGAGGAGACGAAGAGGGAGGAGACGACGAGGAGAGAGACGGGAGGAGACGAGAGAGACGAGCAGCAGAGAGGGAGAAGACGAGGAGATGAGAGGAGAGAGAGAGAGAGAGAGAGAGAGAGAGAGAGACTGAGAGAGAGAGAGTGAGAGTGAGAGACAGAGAGGCCGTGAAAATACCTAGTACCTGTATTATGTATAAAGTTGTCTGGATCAAAAAGCAGGTACAGGTACTTAGTTGTCTCTGACAGGAAGAATGACTCCATTCGGTTATCCAGCGAGTGAGTATTAACATTGTGTATCTGAAATCCAAACACAGCAGCTAACAAATGCGGTGGCACAAACAGGTTTCCATCGGATATATGAAAGCATAAAAGATGGCATGAAGTTATGAGATGGAAATGGAAGAGATTAAATTAATAAATTCATTACTTATTCAGCCAGCAGGTGGCAGCTTAAGCAACGCACCGTCGCGTATCCGCATGACGTCTTTGCGCTGTGTTCAATTGACTCGAGGATGTCAACCCCAACCTGCAGTAGGACAGGGTCCCTCGTTGCCTGGTACAAGTACATGGTGCTCTCGATTAACTCTGCAAGCACCAACGTAGCCAATTATTTCAAGCTCTATCATTGGGGAGCTTCCGTAAGGGGTTTGTTTCCGTCTCCTGGACTTACTCACGCCTACGTATTCTTTATTAGTACACTTCACCGCAGAAATAATTCAGAGACAACTCAGTGCATGAGAACAATCGATGCTGCCGCGAAAGCGTGGGCCATGTAAATGCAGCTTACTGTCTGCAGCTGCAGCACATGTACCAGCAAGCACTGTTACATTAATAGCGAGCTCCACGCTACCATCTGTCTCAGCAGCTATTGCGCGCAAGCTCGTACACGTCCATCCAGGTCGTGAGTGACTGACACTACTACGAACAAGCTAGTGGTTGCATTACAGTGACCAGTTTACTTACTACCCAGTTTGTGACCAGCGATGTGCGTTTTTATCGACAATGTGATCACTCTTGTGGCCAGGTAGAGCCCTGAGTATAAACCCACTTACAAAATTTCGAACCATGACAGACTTTTTTTGAAAAAATATATGTTTACTATTGAATCTGAATGAACAGACTAAATTGGCGACCATTCCCTATATAGCTAACCTTGTCTGGGTAGACAATGCTTTGTTCCCTATTCTGTTACCTGTGTTGTTTTGACATTCTTCGTAACGCCTACCTGGTCTGAGTGGATAACCCTCCCGGTTTTTGCGAGCTTCGTTTGTAGGCACATTATAAAACTCGGGCGTGAATCCAAACTGTTTCCACACCTGATGGTAATTATGCAGGGACTTCTTTGCCTGATCCAGTTCACCGACCAGTGTCTGAAAGAATAAAGGATTTAGAAGAATCCATTCTTACTCATGTATAGGTATAAATACCAATGCTAGTGCTCAAGATATAAGCAAAGAGCTTATAATGATCCTTATATCATAATTATCATTATAAGCTCTTTGATATCAGCCATCTGCTTGTAATCTATTGGTTATCTTGTGGTAGGTATCACAGTTTTCCTGCATTGTGTAAGGCTTTAGAACTGCTAAGTGCACTATGTATGGCTGAGCTAACTTACAAGTAATCCAGGCCAGAATGCCTCCAAGTTCTGAAAGACAGGCAGCGTGATCTGACCCTTGTCCATGCTAGCCCAGAAGTACCAATCATCTCTGTTGAGGTATCGCTGAATAGCACCATAGTATTCTGAATGTGGATGAAGCATGTGAAAGATTGCAAACACACAGTGAAAGGCAATCAGCTATCAGTGGACATGTGTAAGCTGATCAATAATGAAAGTGTCAATGACACTGTAGCTCACCACAAAAAGGACACAAATGAGTGAGTAAGAAGAAGTCAGTTTTAATTGAGCAACCATCGACGTACATTATAGAAACGATTGCCATCTGTATATCGCAAAATAATTTATAAACCAAAATGAATCACAATTTGTGACCGTAGATGGCGTTATACCCGCTTTGTAGCGATGGCGTTTGAAATAAATAGGTTATGCTGCGTTCTGACATGTTTTGTAAAACTTTACTCTAATATAGACGTTTTATCGGCAGGGTGGAGAGGAAATACCAATTTTGCATTAAAGATATTGTCAATGAAATCTTGTAAAACGAACCAGACGAGTGTGACACCACAGACTGTTTGTGTCTATATAATATGCTATATAATTGCCAAACCCTACCTAATTTGCATATTTTTTTTTAAATATCAAAACCCCTAGCCCTTATTCATTCACATACCAAAAATGAGCAAAATCCATTGAACCTGAACAGACTAATGGCAATTCCCATTTTTGCCAAAAAATTGCCGTGGCTCGAAAGTACGTCGACTAGCGTGCTTCAAAATAGGACGTTTAATATGAGAGCATAGCAGTAACAACTATACCTAATTTCAAACATGTGGGCCAAACGGTTCCTGAGTTATCGTTGACCGTAGCGAAATGTTGACGGACGGACGGACGGACAAACGGACGTACGACGGACGACAACCCATAGCAATAGCTCAGCTTGACGATGTCAAGGTGAGCTAAAAACATACCCTATCAAAAAAGTTTCTATCATATCTCTCATTAATCGATGCTACTACGCCATCCATACCTCTAAACTGATCCATGAGTTCGGGCTTCTGGAACATAATGGCACCTTTGACTAAATATTCAAAATAGGAGTCGACTCCAGCACCGATGCCTGCCTCCGATGCTGTCCACTCGCCCGACTGCACATCTATGTGATTGCCAACCTGAAAACAAAAAAGAAGTGGAACATTATACCAGCTAATGGATAACTGTGCTGGCTGTAACCACTGTGATCATGTATAGAATAACAAGTGAGTGTTGGAGTCGATTGTATAATCTATATGAGATATCAGTATTTGTGTCTGTATAGGTTTCTTGTACTCATGTCTGTATTGGAGATCTGCAGTGGTGTCTGACTATATAAATTTTCGATACTGGTGCCCATAGCAATGGTGTCCTACCAATGAAACATTAGATCTGTACTTCCAAAGGGCCTTCAGGGCTTGCAGCGCAACATACTGGAACCTCTGGTCGCCAGTGAGCTGGCTCAGGGAGCCAAACTCAACGATGAATGTGCCGACACCAGCAGTGCAGGTCACCGTCGTCTCCCCACTTGGGACACCGTGACGCAGGTTTACTGTCCCATATGGCATCCCAGTGTAGGTGTCAAACGCTGCAGTGGGCACAGACACAATATACACAGTCGATGTCAAACAAGTATATGTTTTTATGATACCATGAATCAAACTTGGGGGATTCTAATAAACGTTTTTCAAATCAGAATGGACAATAAAGGGCAATACTCTCTGTATCAGAGGTTACATTTATTATTTGTATGGAGGCTTAGAACTAAACAGTACCTACACTAAGAAGATAGGGAAATCCTTACCCGGAAGGAGCCTGTTTGCAACATTCTCAGCGAGCCGCAGCAGAGGCCCGGAGCAAGGCCATCCGTCTTCTAGCTGCATGCCGGCTCTGTGAGAAAGCAGATGTGCGGACAGCAAACCTCCAACCACTATAAAGATGATAGTTAAAACACAGGGTTGCATGTTCAGGTTTTGCTGTAGTACATACTGGTTCTATTGGTGGCTGTATTAGATTGGTACACGTTCCATGATATAAACTAGTAAACAAACATATTGGAACTAGCAGGATAATGTTTTATTATTCTGACTATATTTCATGTCTAACTACGATTTCATGATACTTTGAAGCGAATACAACAATTTCTGATATTAATCACAACAAAAATAAATCCTTCCTATAAAAACTTGCCTCTGATGTTTGTCTCAAAAACAGACACATTAACATCAATGTCAAAGTTGGCCTTGTCTATGAGTAGGTGGGCCACACGTCTGAACTCACTGTAGTTACCCAGAACTGCGAGTGTGTCCAAGGCATCGATGAGAGACAGAGAGAAACTAAAACATTAAGCAAAAAATATTAACACACAAATGCATTAATAATATTGCATACCGTATTTCCTCGAACGAGCGCCCAGGCCCTTATTGTTTTAAACTGTCTCATTGCCCCGGCCCTTTTTCGAGGCAGGCCCTTTTTCGAGGTCCGGCGCTTCGCGTCTCCAACGGATTCGAGTGGGGTCTGACTTGAGGATGCGGTTTACCATTTTCATCTCTCACTTTTATTTGACGATGTATTTACAGTAAAGCTGAAAATACTGATATTTAGACTGCGAGTCATATACCAATATTGTTTAAAATCTTTTAAATCTAAATATATATAAAATCTGAAATTTTACTTAAAATGACATGCATTTGTCAAAAAAGGAAATGGGGTGGATTTTCATAGTAGACATTTCACTTATTTAGATATATTTTTGACAAATATCATCTGGTTAGAAGGCATCAATAATAAGTCCAATTCTTAAAAAAAGAACGCAAAATGCATTGAGTAGTTTTCAAGATACTAATTCTTGAAGTCAGTGACGGCGGTGGCAGGGTTACATCTCCCGTTGTCAAATATTTGCACCACATCGGCGCACACACACACATTCACACACCACGCGCGCACGCACACGACACACCGCATTCAGACACATACAGGCACTGCGCGGCACAATCACACACGCACCCACGCACAGACATACCACATTTAGCACACACACGGGGCGCTGGCACACACATACACACACATGCTACATACATTATACATACATCATACATACTACATACATACATTACATACATACCACACACACACACACACACACACACACACACACACACACAGCCACACACACACAAACACGCACGCACGCACGGCACGGCACGCACGCACGGCACGCACCGCACGCACGCACGCACGCACGGCACGCCGCACGGCACGCACGCACGCACAGCAC